TCTTTAAAGAGCTCCTTCTGTCTGAGATGTGTTTTAGTCTGGCACTTTTTTTATTTCTTATATTAGGAAGTTGATTTTTTAAAGCGTTTAAAAACAAATTAATCTATTTATTTATTCGTCTGCCTATTTCATACAATTAAATATGCGTAAAATGTTTTCTTCACAATATTTAATTAACATATTTGTCCTATTTGTGTGTACCAAAATTATTATTCTGAATTAAATGTTCCTTATCAAAAGAAAAATATCTCCAACACACACATTTTTTCTCTCTCCATCACACACACACACACACACACACACACGTTGTGCTATTTTTCTAAAACTTCCCAAATCCTGAATAATTCATCGAAGAAACATCAGTCAGCGGTTTTCACGTCGTCTCGGGAGCTCGACCAAATTATTAATTTGAGAATAACCTGAAGCCAGTTCGTTATATTTAATAACACGTAACACAAAAGCTTTATGGGCTCACATCGATTCATTCATCAATTGATTTCACAGTCGTTTTGTTCCTTTGTTGATCTGTGTGGGGTTGCCCAACCGGAGTTTCGGGTTGCATCTGTGGGTACGATAAGCTCTGCCTGTGTGTGTGAGCGTGTGTGTGTGTGTGTGTGTGTGTGTGTAAGTGTGTGTTTGCGGTTTTGTTGTGATCGACCCTGTAAAAAGACTTACACAGTCTCCATACAAACCATCTGTGGGCTCCCGTTTGTTTCTTTCGGGCTATGATTCGTCAGCAGGAAAATAACTGACTGTACCTGCTTTTTTTTTTACGTGACCTGAGACCAAAAGAAAGAAAAAAAGAAAAAAGAAACTCTACGTGCTGCGTGACGTCACTGCCAATATTTCAACATTTACTGGTTCAAAAACGCTTTTTTTTACCCACCTGATTCAAATTTCTAGACCTGTTTTTACAACCCAAATCATTCTTTAACTATTTATCTCGGAATTGAAACATGGCCTCGCTGTTGGAAATAGCATCCACTGTGCAGAAATGTGAGATTTTAAGACGCTAGTCATTTAAAAATAACATTTTTAAGCACGTTTAGCTCACGTAGATGAGTCTCCCAGTGATCCACTGGATTCCCAGGATCTCTCCTCTTTAATTGCGTGGAGGACAGTCCTCCCCTGGCGTTAAACAAGCCATTATCGGCCCTTTAATAAGCGATGGCCTGTCAGGGCCTCAGATAAGCAGGGGGTGCTCAGCTCCAGACACTGATTTATAACCGGGGGTGTGTTACCAAGTCCCCCCCGCTTCCCAAAAAAAGAAAGAACGAGACAGTAAGAGAAAGGCGAACCGTGATCTCTGATTGGACCGAGCTGAACTCAGTCTGGGTCCCAAAAGAATGCCTTTAAATAGAAATAAAAAAAACCCGGAAGTCTTCCAGGGATGGCAGACACTCAGGTTTTTTTTTTACGGGGGCGTGGGGGGTGTTTGTTGTTACATAACGACACAAACTAAACACACACTAAACACAAACTAGACCCCATCAAGATGCCGATGTGCGCCTTTCTGCGTCTGAATTGCACAAACCCGCACTTTGGAACCGTCCCTGCATCGGTTCTTATGCAGATTGCGGGGTCAAAAGCCTACCCTGATTAGATTTCTTTCTATTTTTTTCATCACGCCCAGCAAAAACACGTCCACTCCACATTTCGTGTATCCTTCCGCGCCCCCCCCGTTTGGCTCCAAAAGCATATGCACCGGTTGAAGAGATTTAATTATGATTAGCAGCAGGTTTGGGGGGCCTTTTGTGCCTTTTTTTCGCCTTGGTTTAGGAGGAGTGCGCGTGCACTCGGCGTTAACCCCTTTGGATGCTGTGCGCGCGCATTCCCGTTGACTCCGCCAGCAATTTGATTTAAAGGTCATTCTCTCCTATCGATCCGCTTCGGCGCGGGGCTACGGAGCAGCGTAGGGATTGATCATCATCCAAAACAGGAGAGACTGTACGGAGTCCAGACCTCTGCTGCATTTCTAATTGCCGGCCACGTACCGCGTGTGAATTGCAACGCGCGTGCGTGTTTGCCTACTGGAAGACAAATGTTGGGGGGGTGGGGGGAGATGCGCAGGAGTCGGCGCAGACTCCCAGTTAATCTGATTTCTATTAAAATTGCATTATTTTTGAATTATTAGGTCGGCGCAAAGCTCCGGATGGAGCCGTGTGGGTGGGATGCGTATATCGAGTGAGAGGAGGTTAAACGAGTGTGAACTTTAAGTCGTCTCATGCTGCTAATCCCACTCCATCACACACAAGCAGAGTGGGGGGGGGG